TTCGTCTGATTCATCGCCGCGAACAGCGTGCGGGTTGTGGCATCTGCCCCGGCGGGGACAGGGACTTCTTGAAATTGGGCAGCTCGATAGCTAGTGGGAGCTGTGTTGTCTTCTTCGAGCGGCGGAGGGTCAGAGGAGGATGAGGCAGTAGCTCTGTCGCGGTGGATTGAGGGCCCGGGGGCGGCGCCCCCGGGGAGTGTGAGTCCATTCTTATCGGTGAGTCCATTCTTATCTGCGAGGCCGTTGTTGGTGTCGACGACGCGGATGTTTTGTTCATCACGAACTTGGTCAGCCATGACGGTAGGGGGTGATTTGAGCTTTGGTCTTCGAGGTTTTGCAAGACGGGGAAGCTAGATTCCCACAGACGGCGCCACTGATCTTACCGGATCAAACTTGGACCGTCACGACTGGCTCCGAGTGAAAGTTGAACGAGGTGGGGGCGGGGGATACCTGCAAGGCACTCCGATGCTAAAGCGAGTGATGGTACCAGCAGGCAAAAAGTGTGTGTATGGGTAAAAGAATGAATACCTGATCCTCTGGGAACAGAGGGTATTTATAGCCCCCAGCGCGGGGCCAAGGTCCTTTCATTGGACCGACCAGGACTGGCCCAACAAAGGGACTGCCAGGTTCTACGTGTGTAGTGGGGACCCGCACGTGGTCCCCTTCCTGGTGATGCTCTGCGAGAAGTACGGAGGGACGAGGACGCGGTCTTTCCGGAGTTCAGGTGATGGAGTAACGGTCATAGTCTACCCTACGAGGAGGGTGCTCGAGCTGGGCTCGAGCTGGATTTCATGTAGTCGGGGACGTCATATTCGCGGGCAGTGGCGGGCACGGCTGCAGCTTCTGGTCGACGCGCTGACGGGAATCTTCAGGCACGCGCTCCTTGAAGAGTTGCTTCGATTGGACCTTCATTCTTGCTCTTGGGCCAGGACGGACCCAGTCCAAAACAATGATCCTATGTCTTGAGGAAAGTGAAGATATCTCTCTTGACTTGCTCTCTCCAATCTTAGAAAGTGTGAAGAAAGACAATGAGGTTGGAGTTTGGAAGTTGAGAATCATTATTTTTAATAGGTAATGATTATGAAACTGAAACACATTTCGTTATGACTTTCATTATTTTTAATAGATAATGATTATTTTTAATATATAATTTTTTCTTGACCAGGTGGATAGCAATATTATTACAATAGAAGTCATACCTCGACAACAAGATAATGATGTTGATGGGGACATGTCTCCTAAGTCTGTCATGAGCAATGGAATAGCACAAGCTAGAAAAGATGATACTTGAGAAGAATCAAAGCCTCTTAAGAAGCAGGATAGTACTGAATCTATTGTTCTGTCAAAAGGTAATATTTATGAGTTAATAAGGCTCCGAATGATTTGGACGCTGAAATAATTAACAGTAAAGAACAAAAGCTGGAATGAAATATCAATAGGAAAGGAAAGAAAAACAGCTTTTCAAATTCGATCAAGATTTCTAAGAGTAACTATGTTTTTTGGGTAACTTTTTATTTGGTTTGGGTGTTTATTTTTTGCTTTTGGCTAATTTGGTACTAAATTGAAAGTGTATTATTTAGTACAGTACTTGTACAGTATATACGATGAATTTGAATCTAATTACCATAATGTTAATAAAAGATAGATATAATGTATGCATAATTTCTTAAGAGGGAAAAAAATCTAATTTCGATTTAATTTTTGTGAAAAACTGTGTAAATTACGGCGGTTAGAACCGCTATTATTTACAACATAAAACCGCCGTTTTAATTCATGTATATTATGGCGGTTTACACAGTGGTTATGAGAAAACGCCACTTTTACTTCACGGCAGCCAAATTTATGATGACTTTTTAGAACGCCACTTCAGTGAATTGTGACGGTTGAAACCATAAAAGAACTTTTTAACCGCCCTAATTTCCCTGTTTTTTTTTTGTAGTAGAATAACTCTTAAGAGATGAGGATATTTAGAGGACAACTTTTAAAATTTCGTGTAGGCATTGAGAATTTATGATTAGTTATTGTGGAGTTCATTGTGGACATTCTGATTTATTCTAAGTCGGAATAAGAGCAGGTGGAACAATTGCGAATTATATTGCGAGTATTAAAGGAGAAGAAATTGTATACTAATTGGCCAAGGTGTGAATGTTGATTAAGGAGGTGAGTTCCTTAAGCGTATTGTTTCGGGTAAATATAATTGTGGATCCGTCCAAAATAGATGTGATTATACGTTGAGAGTTTTCGAAGTTGGATAAGGAGATTAGAAGCTATTTTGCCTCAGTGGTTACTATTGCATTTTATGAAACAAAGTAAGGTGTTGGTTAGAGACGAGGTCAAGTGCGATAGGTTGGTAATGAATAAATTGATGGAATGAAATATTTGGTGTTAAGAAAAACGTGTTAAGAAAGTGTTGTAGGAGCACATGAAGGTGCAGTTTATACCAATTAAGAATGGTAAGTGAAGGTTGAATTGTAAGATGGAATGTGAGTCATTGATGACATAGTAGCAAACATATGTCAGGAAAAGTTGAGAAGTTTTTGTCACCAACTAAGTGACGAGATGGTATTATTGAGATTATGGTCGGGATGAGGTTAAAAGATGGAAATATATGGATTCTTGATGTTGTGAGATTTGAAGGAAGATCAAGAATTTAAAAATGTTATTAGAATCCTCTATGTGGATAAAGACTTAGAGTAGAGCGGAATAATTTGTGATATATTTGGTATGCTAACAGGTCTTGAGTTAGAAAATTCTTAATCATCGTGGGATGATAAGTGAGTGAGAAGTGGACTATGTAATGTGTTGGGTAATGGTGTCTCATCAACGAGATTGAATGAGAAGGAAGTTGTGTAGGCACATGTAAATCTCAAAGGAGATTATTTGGATTGTGGTGCTTTAGGCGACTTTGAGTACCAGTTCTAAAGGAACACTATTATAGTTAGTAATGATGGTTTATATCTCATCATGGTTGTCGGCTACTTATTTACAAATTGAGGAACTGATCACCCTCAATCTATGTTGGACGAGATGGACTTATCTTGCTAACTAGATGGTGTGTAAAGTGACTGGCATTTTATCGAGAGCGTAGTCGTTCACCATTTCATAGAAAAGAGGATATGAAAGAGTTGGAATTTATTTAACAGTTCAGAGACTTGATTTGTATACGATCTAACGTCGCAAAGTGTGAGGTTGAGGATATAAAAGGTGAGTATTGATTTTCTGGTGAATATTAAAGAGAGCTAGGAATCGGATGTGAAAATTGTAGGCCTGGTAGTTGATAGAAATCAAAGTGAGGACAGTGACTTTAAAGTAGATGATCAGAGTAGCACAACTGAAGTGTGGTGTAAAGTAGTTCGTTACGCGTGTGTGATTTGTTAGGAGTCAAGGGTTGAACATCAGAAGCATGCAGGAATGATGCAAAACCATTGAACATTCCAAAAGGGAGGTGATAGGTGAAGAGTTTATGTGTTATTCACATTATTTTCGTATCAGTAGATGTATTAATTTAAGTGTTAGATTGATGAATCGTATCATCGGAGTACTGATGTTGTGTTTCAATGTTTTCGGTATTATAGTTGAGACGATGTCCTTGTGACAGTGTTATTGTTGGATTGAAATAGTTAACGATGTTGAATGTTGATGAGTGATATTCAAAATACTGCCAGATGTGATGTGGGAATTGAGAAGTTGGATGCGAGAGTTGTGTCCGAAGTGTATCGCATCAGGTAATTTTTTAGGATAAAAATATTCTAAGTGGGAAAGAGTTGTAACACCTCATTTAAATATTTAGTCATTGTTTATTAATTTTGAATTATTTTGGCATAATTAAGGGTATGTGGGTGTCATACCCCAAATTTGCCCACCCTTTTATTTCTACAGTCAAAAATATTTTAAACGTTGTTTTATAATATTATTTAATTTTTATAGATGTTCATTCTCAAGTCCAGTCAAAAATATTTTAAACATTGTTTTTATAATATTATTTGATTTTTATAAATATTCGCTTCTAAACCTATTTAAAAATATAATGATTTATTTCAAATTATTTTTATCTTTAAAATAACAAATATTTGCATATCTTTCATATACTTTAGATTAAGTTTATTTATAAATAAGTAATATAACACAATTGGTAAAAAATGGAGGTTGCAAATATGAGGTTGAGGGTTTGAATCTTGTCTGTTGCATTTTTTATTTCTTTTTTTTTTTGCTGCTAATTTTCTTCTCTTTTTTGGATATCAAACTTTGAGCTTTTCTTTTGGACTTTTGGATAAACTTAGTCTTTAAGTCTCTTTTTTAATCCAATTCACTCTATAAATAGGACTACTGTTGTCCTAGTCACGCACACAATTTATCAAGAATTTTACAATTGCACTCACTTTCTTCTCAAAGTTTTCTTTTTAAAACATTTGGTGTTATTTTGTTATTTTGGCCGATGATTAATAAATTAATCATTAGATAAACATGTGTCTAAATTAATTTACCATGATGCCACCCTTTTCATTTTTTGTCTTTCTTGATATTCTGAGGGTTTGTGTTGTTATCATCATGTTCACGCTTACAATATTTTTTCATAGTATCCACAATAACACGTCATGCACACAATTTTAACACTAACTTGCACAGACAATAACTCTAACATTATTTTTTTTAATATTATTTTGGTTTAACTTGGTGCTAATATTTTTAAACGATCTACATATATTTTTTTCTAACCATATAATATGTCATTATCTTTCTTTCACGTTTCTTTCTTTCTTTCTTTCTAATTTGGCATAAAACACGAACTTTGGATCATTAACCAAATCTTTTTTATAGCTTTTTTTATGAACTTTGGAGCAGGAATTCGATAGAGCAGTCTCAACAAACCTTTTTTTTATTCACACTTTAGTTTTTTATAGTAGTAACTAACATAAAACATTCATCCAAGTCTTATTGGTACACTAATTATACACAATAAAATTCATTGCAAAATTTCAGATAATTCTTCATTAGAGATTCTATTGTGTCAAATAGTTTTCATACAAAAATCTGCTCTCAGATCTCCAAAACCAACATTTACAAATTACAAAAAATTCAAATAGAAAAGGATCTGGAAAATTGTGTATTGTTATTCTTTTGTTTGTGCAGAAAAGAGAGAGTATAACAATTGTTTTCGCCATCTCCAATTTCAAACTGATGAAGCCTCCAATCACTTTCACTATGCGTAAACACCACCAGACCATCCTGCAACCTGGAAATCTCCACCGATGAAGCCCGCCACTCTCAGTCCTTCCAACAACCCTCCTTGAAGTTGCGCAGGCCCACGTCGTCGCCTTCAACCATCAGCGTTTGCATCTCCAACTGCTTTCGTGAACCACCACCGCACCTCCGTCCAGATCCAATTTGCGCCCAAGCTCCACCTTCATCCCTCGCCGACAACCTCGCCGGAAACCAAATCCAGCCGTCCCCCGCATATTTCGCTATCGTCATTATGTTAGTTGTTGTTTTTATTCATCTTAATTTCATGTTTCTTAGGTAGCATATATATGTTGTGAGAAGCTTGAAAAAAGAGTGAATAAAATTGTGAAGAACTGTCCGAAGAAGAAGCAGTACAGAGAAAAAGAAGAAAGTAGTCCTGGTATTTGTTCTCTCTCTTAATTATAAGTTGTTTTTTTATTTAACTTGTTTTTTATCTAAAAGGTCAAGTGTCATATTCTTATTGGGTTTTAATAAAATAGGTTAAATTAGTCAGATTTTAGTTTTTTACTATGTCTCATTTTGTTTTCTTATACATATTAATGATTAACGGCAATCACGTAACAAAAGGGACGCTCCCCCCATAATGTACTGATTTTTTTATTTGTTTTATACATTATTTGAATTATTACTATTAATAAATCATGACTTGAATTAAGGTTAAATCTTTAGAGTTTTAATATGGACTTTGGGCTTTAAGGTTTCTACACTTTTACTTAGCACACTATTTATTTATCTTGTGCACCCTTTGTTATTTAATTAGCCTTTTATTTATTTGGTTAGATTACTTGATTGATTAATTTCTTTGTTAAAATTTTATTTATCTAAAAATCAATATTTAAAAATAAATAATGAATATATAAATCAAACTTTTTTTAATAATTAATTCAAAAATTCTATAAATAATAATATGTAAATCGGTCGATACATCGTCTACCGATTAATTATTCAAAATCAAACAATTAAAATCCACGTAACTCACTAAATTCACCATCCGGAGCGACACATGGCCAATATTTGACCACGTGATGAGGAGACTATATCAGACTCCCCCGTTCTACGTCTTAATATAGCTAACCAACATCAAATCTTTTTTTACTAACATAATCAAACTACAAGATATTTTTGAAAAATGATTAAGGAGAATTAATTTCAAATTTAAACTGCAAACTGCGTCTACCATCACTCAATTTACAATTCAGACAAGGTTCGAAGATAAATTCTAAAATAATTCTACGCAATCCTCTAAAAAACACCAACCAAATCGTGAACTACGAAATGTGACTCTAATTCCTCCTAAGAGGATACGTAAACATACGATTAAAATCGTGATGAGTCCCCCTAACTAAAATTCAAACATTTTTCCCTCTAACTAAAATTCAAACCCTTTTTCCCCTAACAAAAATTCAAACCCTTTTTCCTTATTAAGAATAAAAACCCTTTTTCCTAAAAATTACACTTCTAAACCTAGTATCCTTGTGAACAAGGTAAATGAGAGATGCCTAACACCTCCCCTTCATCTAGAACCGAGTCCAAAAATCTAGAATCTCTGAGCTTTAGGGTTATTCTTTTATACTCTCTTTCTTTAGACAAAAAATAAGGGTGATGACTCTGATTTAAAAACCAGTTACAATAGTGGGCATGGCTAAAGGTGTATGAGAACTTAGTTCTAATTAGATTTTAGAATAAAAACTTAGCCTATGTTATAATAGTAATAATATTGGTGAATGATGGAATATACTATTATTATTAATAAAAGTGTTATTATTATATGGTATGGTAACCACTAATAATATTATTTTTATTAATAGTATACTTATTATTATTATTCCCATTATTACTATTTGTTATTAAAGGGGAATAAAACATAGTTTAAGGAAAAATAATAGAAATAGAATTGGGAGAAACTGTTTTCACGAGAAAAGAAGAGAAGAGAAGAGAAGTTAGGGCAAAAGGGAGACAAAGGGAATTTCATCATTGTTGAAGGATCAAAGCTCCAAACTAAGGTAAAGGGGGAGAATGAGTTCTCTAAAGGGTGATTATAACATGAGAGGGTAGTGAGGGTGCCTTCCCCTCTTTAAGTTTTGTGTATAATTGATGTATGTTTTTCTTTTGTTTGATTGATGTTGTTTCTATGTGATTCTATGTGGAATTGTGAACTGAATGATGTCAATGTTGTGATTGTTGCTGATAATTGTTGTTGTGATGTTGTTCCATAAAAATCCCAATCTAGAAAATATAGGTTTAGGAAGATGATGAACAATGTGATTTGGATGTAGAAAATTGTATAGGATGATAGATCAATGAAATTAGATGAAGCCTATAGGTCATTATGTATAAAAACACTGTTTTTTACCCAAATTAAGAGGTTGAAAGTGCTCAAAATGAGTGGAAATTATACTGGTACAAAAGCAGATTTTGGAAAGTAGCATATTGGCCATACGCGTATGGTACGCATATGCGGGACATTCCTAGGGGCTGTACGTGTATAGTACGCACCCTATCCCCAAGCCAACACGACCTCCTATTAGAATGCGTATGGTACATATATGGTTAAAGGCCATACGCGTATGGACTAGCCAGTACGCGTATGGTACGTGTATGATGAAAGGCCATACGTGTATGGACTAGCCAATACACATATGGGAATTATGGAGGGGTCTTTGGGGGGAAACACCCCTGGTGGTATGTGTATAAGATGGGCGGGGAAGAAGTCGTACGCGTATGGTACGCGTATGAGCTGGCTGATGTGCAGAAAATTATGTTTCTGCCATTTCTTTTCTATTTTAGCGTGAAGTGTAGTTTCTCTTGAACCGTGGTGATTAGTATGACTTAGGAAAATATAGGAAGGCTAGTAATAATGGAATTGTGTTAAAATACGGAACCTTGTGTGCATTTTACATAATGTGTAATGTTAATGATGTGATGTAACTTGATGATACTGTGTGAAAGGTGTGGATGGATTGCATGATGATATGATGTTGTGGGCCTTTATGGGCGTATTGTTAAGGGCTTATGCTCTATGGTTGCATAATTATGTTGTTACATTATGGTGTTGCACATACGTATTAGTGAGAATTTATGCCCTGTTATTGGCTTGTAATGGTGTTATGTTGAAGGCTTATGCCTTGTTGCTGCCCTATTTGGAAATATGGAGAGGGCTTATGCCTTGTTGGTGCCACATGCATTGAGTCGGTATTAGTCTCATTGCATTGCATTATTGTTGATTCGATGTTGTATTATGTAGATGATGTTTGGGATGTGAATTAGTGAATGAATGGTGTGAATTACTACTCCTTAGCATGTGATATTTCACTGTATATTTATTGAATGTAATTCTCACCCCTTTTCTGTTCTTATGCATGTGCTCCTCCGTTGGTACAGATAATCAGGTATCTGAATAGTGCTTGGAGTATAAGTTTCTTGATCGAGTCTTAGGAGTCGCTCTGATACATAACACGGGATATTGTGGGAATTTTTTTATGTTTTGTATTTGTATTTGTTACGTATCTTAACTTCAAATTTATGTTGAACCACAAGTTTTATGGAGAACGTTGTTATAAAGTTGTAGTACTATGAGAATGAATAATTTAATATTTATGTTGTGTGAATAAATCTTTTATGAGAAATAAAGTAATAAAATAATTTGAAACTTTTATGATTTTTTGAAAGATGTGACATCATACTTGTGTACTCTGATGTATTTTCGTATGATATATTATAATTATTCTTGTGGGGAAAGTGTGGTGTTACAAGTTCTCTTATGGTTGGAATTCTCTAATCCAAATTTCTTCACAATATTCTTTGCATATTTGCTTTGACAAAGAAAAATGGAGTCTTCCATCTACTTGACTTGCAACCCCAGAAAGAATGTTAATTCATCCACCAAACTCATCTCAAACTCAGATTGCATATGTTTGACAAAATATTAGACCATTTCATTCATCATCCCTCTAAAAACAATATCATCCACATAGATCTTAGCTATCATAAGTTTTCCACCTTTCTCTTTGACAAAGAGCGTTTTGTCAATTCCCCCCTTTCTATAACCATGGTTAATGAAAAACTCAGTCAATCTCTCATACCAAGCTCTTCGAGCCTGCTTAAAAACATAAAATGCCTTTTGTAGTTTGAACACATGATTTGGGAAAGAAGGGTCAACAAATCCTTTTGGTTTTTCAACATATACTTCTTCATGTAGATAACCATTTAAGAAAGCACTCTTGACATCCATTTGGAACAATTTGAACTTTAAGTGACAATCCACTCCAAGAAGTAGTCTGATGGATTCCAAACGAGCTACGGGAGCAAATGTTTCATCAAAGTCCACTCATTCAATTTGAGTGTGCCCTTGAGCAACAAGTATGGCCTTGTTTCTAGTGACAGTACCTTGTTCATCTGACTTGTTCTTATACACCCATTTAGTACCAATAACATTTACCCCTCAGGTCTTGGTACCAAGTCCCAAACCTCATTTCTCTTGAATTTACCAAGTTCATCTTGCATAGCATGAATCCATAGCTCATCAATCAAGGTCACTTTGACATTCTTTGGTTCAAATTTTGAAACAAGGCAAGAATTTGACACAACTTCACTTGATCTGGATTTTACTCCTTCACCCAAATATCCTATAATAAGTTCCTTATGGCAATCTTTATAAATCCTAATAGAAGGTCCTTTGTCATTAGAATCAGTTTATTCAGGTTCAGTATTGACACTTGAATCTACAACATCTTCAGAAACATCATCATTTAAGGGGAAAAATGCTCCAACATCATTTGTGACATCAGCTTCTTTGGATGAGTAATTAATCACAACATTTATGGACTCTATCATCACCTTAGTTTTGGAATTGAATACTCTATAGGCTCTACTGTTTGTAGAGTATCCCAGAAAAATTCCTTCATCACTTGCAGGATTCATCTTCCTCCTCTGCTCACGATCTGCCAAAATGTAGCACTTACTTCCAAAGACATGGAAATGTTTC